ACCTGACTAGGGACTGAAACCTCTACAAACTGTGAACTAAATAAACGTTTCCTCCTTTAACTCATGGGTGTTGGGTATTTTGTCTCAGCGTGAGAAAAGTAACTAAGACATATATGAATATACATGTAAATGAATTGATAATGGAAACTGCACTCCATACATTGTACTCTATAAATTCCTTTTCCTCTCTCTCTCTCTCTCTCTCTCTCTCTCTCTCTCTCTCTCTCTTTGCCTTGAGCCTCTTGTGGCCAGTCTCTGCTGTCTTTTATGATTTCCCATCTTTCTCCATCTCTTTCTCTCTCTGTGTGGCCTCCTATCTTGTGAGAACTGCTCTCCCCACCTCCTTTGCCTTTACTTTGCTGTCTCACAGTGGCCTTTTGGCTGATCCTTGAAGCTGTCAGGCTCTTTTCTGCCTCAGGGTCTTGGCATTTTTGCTCCTTTGGCCTGAAAGCTTTTCCTTCCAGTCTCCTAGTCCTTCTCTTTATTCAGTTCTCCATTCAAATGTAATTTCGTTCTTGATCATTTCTTCAAAAATGACCTCTCTACCCCCTTCAATCACCCCATATCTCATTTCATTGCCCTAGCTTATATAAAATGATCCTGTTTTCCTACTTCTCTGATTGTTTAAGGACAGAGGCCCTGGACTTGGCAATGTATAAAATAGTGCCCAGCACATAGCGGGTGCTCGGTGAATGCTTGCTGAAGGAATGCTCTTGTTCCAAGTACTGACTGGCTCTTGTTCAACTGTATCCTCCGGTTCTGCCCTGCACCATCTTGGAGGTGAGAAGGGTGACATTTCTCCATCTCCCTTTCGTTTGTCCCCTGCCTCTACCCTTTAGTTGAATTCCTCGCTGTGGTTCTGAGCCCCAACACTATGGACCTGTCCTTGGTCCTGACCTGGACTTCCACTTCCATTAAGCTGGGCAGGGCGGGGAGGAGGATTGCGGGCAGGGACAGTGTAAGATCCAGGCTTTGCACTATCTGCATCACTGAGGAGAGTTCTGAGCGCTCGAGAAAGGGAGTGGATGGGTCACAGTGAGTTCAGTTGCATTTGATTTATCTATTTGTCAATCTACCAGACTTGAGATTGCTCTGGTTATGTTGTGGAGAGTGGCTTTGAACTCCTAGACTCTAGGGATCCTCCTGCCTCAGCCTTCCAAGTAACTGAGACTACAGGTATGTGCCACCATGCCCACCTTTTTTTTCAATCCAGGAATTGAATCCAGGGCCTTGGACGTGCTAGGCAAGTGCTCCACTACTAAGCTACATCCCCAGCCCTAGCTTTTGCTTTATTTTCCTCAGCAGTAAGAATTGAAACCAGGACCTTTGCACTGAGCTACATCCCAGCCCTGTTATTTTAATTTTTATTTTGAAACAAGGTCTCACTAAGTTGCTAAATTGCCCAGGCTGGGCTCAAACTTTCAATCCTTCTCTACCTCAACACCCCAAAGTGCTGGGATTACAGGCATGGGGCACACCCACCTCAAGTGCATTTCATCTATGCCTCTGCCTACTTCTCATGTTATTTGAATGCAAATCCCAGACATGATGTCATTAATTTTTCTTTTGTTGAGTATGACTTATACATGGTAAAATTAACAAATCTCAAGTGTGCAGATCAGTGCAATTCTACCTATTCATATATATGTGTGGACCCCCCCCCCATGAAGCTTTCTCCATCTTCAACACATGGTCATCATTCCCTCTCTCTCTCTCTCTCTCTCTCTCTCTCTGGTTTTTTGAGACAGTAGGTTTTTTCTTTTTTTTCTTTTTTTGGGTACCGGGGATCGAACTCAGGTCCATGCGCTTGTGCAGTAGGCAGCGAAACCACTGAGCTAAATCCCTGGCCCCAACAGTAGGTTTTTTGCTACTAGTTCAGGCTGGCCTCAAACTGGCTGCAATCCTCCTGCCTCAGGCTCCTGAGTATTGGGATTACGGGCATGCACCACCAAACCCGATATCAACATGCTGTTTTGTACCCTTTCCCAAGTAATACACCAGAGGTGACTGGTGTTCCAATCTTTATCACCAAAGGTAGAAGCCCAAATACCAGCCAGGTTGGGTATTGCCTTTCCTCCTGCTTGCTGCTAGTTTCCACTTGTTCAGGCTCTTCCTCAGAGATTCATCCCTGTCAGGATGTATCCTCCCTGATCTCCTCTCTGGAATTCCCTTCCTCCCTCGTGCTTCATGTTTTACCAACCTTGAGCCTCCAGGTTTGTGATTGTCTTTTTCCAGACCAGGAGGGCAGGGTTGGGTCTGACGCACTGCTGGGTTTCTGGACTCACCAGCCTAGAAGAACAGGTAGTAAAGATTTGTCAGCTACCCACTTGCTATCTGTCGCTGTGGTGGTTATTATTCCTGCCTCTCCTGCTCTTTCCTTGCCATCTGACATGTTTTTTGGAGCCACCATGCAGGCTGGTCTCTCTGCCTGGATCACCATCCCCACTTTGTCCCTTACTGCCAGTCTCTCTGGGGGCTGTGGCCATCTAGGGCCTACACTGTGTCAATGGTCACTCAGGACCTCTTCAAGGGTGGGGGGTCTCTGGGGTCACCCAGCACAGAATGAATGACAAGATTACTTCCATCACTGGATCTTTATTTCCACATGGGCTTGCCCCTTTGTCTGGAATGCCAGTCCCCTCTGTCCGTCTGGCATGCTTTAAGACCTGTCACCAGCCTCTCCTCCCTATGGCACCAGCGCCAGTGTGTCTCTCCCCACACTGTGCCTACTCTTGCTCCTGCCCAGCCTCTGTCGCAGGCTTGCAACTGTCCCAGGGTGGGTGTGTCTGTCTCCTCAGACTGGGAGCCCCTCCAGATCCCAGACTCCCCTCTACGGCATCAGTTTCTAGTGTGTGGCCAGGAGAGGGGGAAGATCTCAGTCAGTGAGTGGTGGATACTGATGGAATGCGTGTCCAAGCTTTGTAAACTGTTTCTATACTGTCACTCAGCTCGTTGTCCAAGATATGTGGTTCCCCATATATAAATGGAAGCTTGGGGGAGATTAAGGGCTCTCCATATGCTTCCCACTGTCCCCCTTTCTCCCTCCTAGGACTGTAGAATATCTTCCAAGCAAGGAACTCACCACAGAGTGAATGGATGTGACAATGGTCATGTGGCCATGGGTCTCTCTGGTTTTACTGTGCACCCCATCACTCAGAGCAGAGCATCTGATAAACCCATGGAATGACTTCATTATTGTTGCTGGTTTTGAGTCAACAACCTGAAAGGATGGGTTCCAACTTGCAGGATGCAGCATCTGCTTTGCATCGATGACAAATATTCAGTGCTGTCTCCTCCATGACTGATCTGGGTACCAAAGGGGTACACGGGCTCCTTTCTGGTTACAGCTAAGGTCCACCTTGCAAAATTTTCACTTCCTGTCCCTACAACTTTGAGCTCTGCTTGTTTGGAAGTCTCAGTTCCCAAGAAAAGAGTCCTTTATAACAGTGGTTCCACTGAATTGGAAGATGAAGCTGCCACCTGGCCATTTTGGGATCCTCAAACCACTGACCAACAAAGAAGAGGATCACTCTATTTTATGGGGTGATTGATCTCAGTTTCCAAGGGGAAATGGGTTACTGCCACACAGTGGGGCCAAGGAAAACCATGTCTGGGAGCCAAGAGCATCTTTTAGGAGTTCTACATTCACTGGAGTGGGGAAAAGGCAGGACCGCTCCCTAGGTCTGTTCTATGTTGCTGTACCAGGATACCTCAGATTATTTTGGGTCCTGGTTCTGATGGCTGGGAAGTGCCAGCATCTTTGGCTTCCAACGAGGGTCTCATGCTGCTTCTATTCATGGCAGAAAGTGGAAGGACAAACCAGTGCATGCTCAAGAGGTAGGACATGGGGAGTGGGGCTTGCTTCTAACAAGGAAGCCGTGTCAGCCAGAAAGGGAATTGGATCATGGGGCACTGTACTCATCAGTGGATGCATTCAGCACCTGAATGTGCTGTTAGGAGTTGAGGCCTGCTTGGAGATGAGTCACTGGGTGTGACCCGGAAGGGTGTATCTACCTCCCTGGCTCCTCCCTTTCCTCTCTGCTTCCCAGTTGCTACGGGTGTGTGTGTGTGGGGGGGGGGGGATATTCAGACCATAGTGAGATGCAACTCCCTCTCCTGCTTGCTTCAGTGGGTTGGTAGGGAAAGGATGTGAAAATCATGTGCCCTGGAGGACCTGCTGTAGGACTCCATTTGTGTGATTTTCATGGGCCCATGTCAGTGTCTTCCATGCCCTATGTTCCTGCCTGCAGGCCTTTGTCCCCCACCTAGAACACCCCTCCTCCTGCTTCTCTTTGCCAACTCCTATTTATCCTTTAGGAATTTTGCTCAGGATTTTCCTTCTCCAGGAAACCATGCCAGATCTCCCCAGGCTCGTCTTGCTTGTGTTTCTGTCAAATGACTGAGCATGTGTTTGTTTGGGAGGTGGGGTTGCTAAATGGGTCCTGGGGCTGGAGGTGGGACTCCTGGGCCTCTCTTCCCCAATACAGGAGCTCAAGTCATGCAGCCATGGATTAATCTCCCAGTGCACTGGTCAGTGATGTGGCTTATGACAGTAGCCCCCTTATACAGTGGACCCTCAAGTTATGACTGGCCTGACATATGAACAACTTGGGTTATGACCAGAATTTTAGTTTTAACTTATTACCAAAGTCTTGAGTCATGACCCAAATGCCAGCCACTTGGGCTTCCAGATGTTCTCAGATACAGATTTAACCCTTAAAGAGTTCTGGAAGGAATATTACAACATCCTTTCCTGTGTGGGGTTGAGAAATCCTGGGCCAGTGTCTCTCTAAGGACACTGGGATCTGTCTGTACAGGAGAGAGACTTTGAAGGCTGTGTAGAGGAGCCTGAGCCTTCAGCTGACCAACTTGAGTTACAACCAGCCCTCAAGAATGAATTGAGTTTGTAAGTCAAGGGCCCACTGTACTGGGCACCTTCTGTGCCTCAGGCATGACAAGTAGATCTCGTTAAGTCCTCTCCACGACCACTGTGAAGCAGCTCCTGTCATCATTAGACTTTATTTTCACCTCCACCTGACAGGTGAGGAAACGAGGCACAGAGAGTTTAAACAACTTGCTCCCGGCCACCCCCAGGCTGAAGAACAGAGCTGGGATCCCCCAGAGGTCCCCCAGTTCCAGTTCTCACAGTAAGGTGGCGGCTTTCGGTGCCTCTCATGGAGATGCTACTAGAGACACCATGCTGGCTGTCCCGAAGCTGTGACAGGGCCCCGAAGGGAGGGCCTGGCAGTGCCTGCTGTGAGTGACACACAAAGGGCTGTTTGGGTGGGCCTGACGGGCTGACTGTCCCTACCCTGGGAGGCAGGGACACGGCCCAGTTGCTTCCAGGCCTTCTGCCCAGCTGCAGGCAGCGTGGGGGGTGGGGAAGCAGGGGAGAGGGAGGTGAAGGCGCCTGGCGGGAGGGACGGGAGCGCCCTCCTGTCTGCACACCGTTCTCCGCAGACCCGTGACAGAGGCTGGCACAGTGAGCAGGAGGTGCAGGTCCGGGTCCCAGCATCCTCTACGCGGAGAGCCCCAGGGGTCCCCCCAGAGCACTGGCCAGCGCAGCCGTCGTGAGGAGCAGGGCCAGGGCGTGGGGTGCCCGGGGAGGGGCTGCGGCCGGGGCTGCGTTGAAGTTCAGGGAGCGCCCATTGCAGAGGCTGCCTTGGCAGCAGGAGCCGTTGAGGTCGATGGCCGTCCAGGGGCTGCTGGTGCCCATGGCGATGCAGGAGGGCCGGTGGCAGGTTCGGATGTACACAGGGACTGAGAAGTTGCCTGGGGCGGGCCGCGAGCAGGGTTCAGACCGAGGGACATCTGTGTCTGAGCTTCCACCTTGGACACCAGGGCCAGCCCCCGCCCCCGCAAACTCGACCCAGGTCTCCTCCTGAGGCCCGGGTCCTGGTCTCCCATCAGGCCTGTCTGGCGCCTCTACCCTCACTCCTGCCCGACCTCCCCAGCCCTTGCCCCGCCCTTCCACCTTCCCAGCCCCTCACCGGTGTTCATTCGGCCATTGCCCTGGTAACAGACGCTCTGGTCTCGATGACACTGCACCCGGCGGGATTTTTCCACTGAGCAGTCCTCAGGGTGGACCCCCAAACACACGTAGCACTCCGTGCCGCTGAGGGTCTGTGGGGACGGCGCTGCCAAAGAGTGGATCCAAGCGCTTTCAGCTAATTGTTCTCTGCACGGTAGTGCGGGCTGCGCACTGCACCAGGGTGCCTGCCCAGCTCAAAACAGAGGCTGGAGCGCTAGAGCAGCGGGAGAAGGTGCTCCGCGGAGGCCACGCCCACTAACCTCTGACCGCCCCGCCCTCCGCGCACCTCGGCTCAGGTCCGGGAGGCTGTCGTGGGTCTGGAGTCGGGAGTTGCAGAAGTCAGCCGCGCAGCCCCGCACCACTGAGTAGTCAGGCGGCAGCGCTTCCGGATGCTCCTGCATCTGGCCGGTCATCGGGCCCTCCCAGCAGCCCTTCTGCACCACGGTCAGCGGCGTGCGGTATCCTGGGGCAGGGGGAGCGGCCCTGGGCTTGGCTCGGTCCACCCTCTCCCCGCTCTGCTCCGTCCATTCCCGCGCTCTTCTCTCCCCAGCTCTGGACCCTCGGCTACTTTTTTCTTCCTCTCTCCTCTGTCTAGCCTTATCCTTTCTTTCCTCTTTGTTTCTGTGGCACTGCTGATTGAAGACAAGGACTTGTCACTGAGCCAAGTCCCCAGCGCTTCATTTTTATTTATTTTGAGAAGGGAGTCTCCTTAAATTGCTAAGTTGGGGAGGTTGGGCTCCAATTTGTGATTTTCCTGCCTCAGCCTCCCAGAGTGCCGAGATTACAGGCCTGTGTGACCACACCCACCCCTTTCCCTCCACTTGTACCAACCCCCACCCTTCTTCATCTCTGTTCCCCTCTTTTCCTCCCTTTCTCCTCTCTTTTTTTTTTTTTTTTCCTGGTACCGGGGATCGAACTCGGGTCCTTGCGCTTGCGCAGCAGGCATTGAAACCACTGAGCTAAATCCCTGGGCCTCTCCTCCCTTCCTTCCAGCCCCTCACCAGTGTCCAGGGACATGACAACCTCCGAGCATCCATGGGGACAGGAGACGTTGGGCAACTGCATGGCACTGAGGTCGAAGTGGCCAAAGTAGATATGCTCCATGCGGTAGCACTGCAGGGCTCGGGACCCTAAGGGAGGGTGTGGGTGGTCAGTGGGCCAGTGACGAGCCTGTCCCTGGCACATGGCTCAACCCTGCAGATGCCGCCACACAGCCAGCCCGCCCTGCTCTGAGGGTGCCAGGCCTGCTCGCCAGGAAATAGAGTCCGCTGCTGCAGCAGGTCACAGCTGCAGCTGTGTCACCAGGACTTGTGGACTGCAGCTGCCAGTCCAGTTCTTTCCTCTGGGCTGTCCCAGATCTCCACCCTCCTCCAGGAAGGTCTCAGAGATGGAGCTGATAAGGGAGGAGGAAATGATTCACTCACTCCTGCTCTGCTCATCCTTCCCACCACACACTCGAGCAAGGTACAGTGACACTAAACGACAGCCACCGGGACACACGGTGCCACCAAGGACAGAGTGAGCTGCGAGCTGGGCCACAACACACACACTTACCCCAGCACCACACACAGAGCACACACTGACACAGGGCAAACTCACAACGGACACAGCTCCTGCTAAGCCCACAAATACACAGCAGGACGTGGCTGTTGGGTGGTCCGGGTTCTCACACCAGACACTCAGTGGGCCCTGCAGGGAGGATGCCCAGCCGCAGGCCCAGCCCTGAGCACTTGGCCACACAGAAGCTGAGGCGGGCCTGGGAGGACGATCTCGAATGTGTGACAACAGTAACAACACGAGGGACCCGGAAACATATCCGGAGAGAATGAGACAGAAATGGCGAGACATGGAGACAAAGAGAAACGCAGACCCAAGAAACACAAATGCACAAATGTTAGGAGAGGCCACGATTATGCAAAATTAGAGATACGTGGAAATAAAACCATAAAAATATGGTTTAAAACCATTTATAGAGACAGTGAAGTTCAGAGATAAACAGACCCCCTAAAGCACTTTCTTAAACATGGACATTGAAATCTGGCCCAGAGAAACAAACACAAGCATGGAAACTTGTAAGGACACAGTGACACATGCAAGAACCAAACTGTCCCACAGATGTACAATGACACACAAATTAGTTGTACACAGGAAGACAGATGCCAGAGAAAATGACAGACAGTGGAGGAATGTGGTGTGTATGTGCATGGAGGAAATGAAGTGGAGAGAGTTTCTAGGTGCTTTCCTCACCAAGATTCAGGAGTCTGAGCTTCAGCCCTCCTCCCTCAGACCCAGGAGTCCAGGCCCAGCCTTCTCCCTAAGACCTGGGGGTCCAGGCCCAGCCTCCTCCCTCAGACCCAGGGGTCCAGGCCCAGCCTCCTCCCTCAGACCTGGGGGTCCAGGCCACACGCCCTTCTTACTATTGGACTCAAATTTTAGGTACCTGTCAGGAAGAGCAGCACAGTTCCAAAGAGACAGAGCAGAATGTCCCTGGGACTCCCCATTGCGAGCGTGGAGCTGAGGTGTGACACCCAGGACAGCTGCCTCGACTCTGACTTGCTGTCTGGCTGGTTCTCCCTGCTAAGCCATCAGGCTGGGTCAGGATTCCTCACCCCACCCTCCCTTTTGTAGGCTGGTTTCTTGAGGTAATCTCAATTGGCCCCAGATGAGTCCTGGGTCCTGAAGGAGAGGGGTCTTGGGGCCTGGCCCTGAGGATGGGTTAAGGTCCTATAACCTTTACTTTTGACAGGATTTGTGTTTTGCTGGTCTCTCCCTATCCTCCTCCCCACATCTGGCCTCTTGATTTCCTTTCCCCCGGCCCAAACACACACCTCCCCAACACTCAGGCACAGTTTCCTATCCTGGGGCCATGTGTCCGACCCTCAGACACAGGCACTGTCCTTTCCCACAGCCTTCTCTGACCCCACTGTCCGCACTCAGCTACCCTCCTCAACCTCAGACACCTCCCTGTCTCCCAGCCCCATCAAAGTAGTCTGGGCGGGTGTCTGTGCTCTCCATCAGGCTGTGATATCCCGGGGGCCTCCAGGGATATTTGTGACAATGAATGAATGAATAAATGAGTGAATGTACAAAGGAGCCAATCAACAGAGAGGCATTAAGAGAAATAGAGAGGAGAGAATCAGAGAGAAGGAAAGAGAGGAGGAGAGAATGGAGAGGATAGCCGAATCTCCAAATACATCATTTTAGCCAGCATGACAGACCATTTTAACCTTTATAACAAAAGTTATTTTAAGAGCATGAGGCAGGAGGATCACAAGTTCAAGGCCAGCCTGGGTAACTTAGTGACTTAGTGAGACCCTGCCTCAAAATAAAACTTCCTACTCTAGGCCTCTGACCTCTAATTTCTTGGAGCATTACTATGATTTGAATGTCTCCTAAAAGTTCAGTGTGGTGGAAACTTAATCCCCAAATTCATATGAGAACAGATTTTGTGAGTGCGGCCTTTGGGAGGTCATTAGGGTTAAAGGAGGACATCAGGGTGGTTTTATGAGAAGGAGAAGGAGGAGGAGGAGAAGGAGAAGAAGGAGAAGGAGAAGCGGGAGGAGGAAGAGGAAAAGGAGAAAAGGAGAAGAAAAAGGAGAAGAAGGATGATGATAAGGAGGAAATGAAGGAGAGGAAGAGGGAGAAGAAGAGGGAGGAGAGAAGAGCTAGTACAACTGCTCGGCCTTGCCACGTGATCCCTCCGCCATCTTACGATGCAAGAAGGCCCCCACCAGATGCCAGCACCACGCTTTTGGACTTCTCAGCCTCCAGAACCATGTGCTAAGTTAACCTCTAGTCTTTATAAATTTCCTGGATTGTGGTATTTTTGGATTGTAGCAATAGAAAAACAAATTAAGACAAGCACTTACTTTAGAAAATTTGCACTCCTAGCCAGGTATGGTGGCACACACTTGTGACCCCAGCACTGAGGAGGCTGAGGCAGAAGGGTTGCTGTGAGTTTGAGGCCAGCCTGGGCTCCATAGTGAGTTCAAGGCCAGCCTGAACTGTATAGTGAGACCCTGTCTCAAAAACTCAAACAATAAAAAAGATTACACTCCTTTGAGATGGAGGTGAATCCTCTGCTGGCCAGGTTTCAACCTTGGGATGTCTTTCTCAGTGACCTGGGAGCCATGTCCGTGAAGTCAGTCGTGAAGAGAGTTAGTGCCCCATTTCCCGAGCTCTGTGGAGGGTAGGCCTGAGTTCGGTAAGTGACAGTGACCAAACACAGTTGGCTGAATCAAAGAGGTAAACTTTTGCAATCTCATGAATAACTCCATGTGCGCACACAGCCTGTTGACCAGTTCTTCTTGTCTGCTGGGACTGGTCCACTAGCTCATCCGGGGCTTAAAAATCCTCCTGCCTTTCTTTCATTTCAATGCAGTTGAGTTTAGTTTCTCACCCCCTATGGTGACAGTCCTAAAGAAAGTCTCCCTGGCCTGTTTCACTGGCTGGTGCAATTCCTCTCTGACAGGAGACACCCAGACACCGTGGGCCCTCACAGACTTGCACCTTCTTCCCCTCATCTGGCCAGGTCTCCACCCTTCCGGGGAAGCCTCACTTCCCACAACCTATTTTGCATTTAAATTCTTGCTACTCCGGTTCCTGCCCAGATTTGGGGAAATGGAGAAGCTGGGTTTTTGGAGCATGGTGTCCAACCAGGAAGAAGAAGGCTGGGTTTTTCTGAAGCTTCTCTGGAAGGTGGAGGAGTTGGAAGTCCCTATAGCGGTTCATAATGTCAGGGGCTGAGCTTTAGAGATAGCCAGAACAGACAGCCAGGGGTGTGTGTGTGTGTGTGTGTGTGTGTGTGTGTGTGTGTGTGTGTGATTGTGACTCTGATAACCTTCAGGCACTTTTGGAGACTGAGTCAAGAACTAGGTAGGAAGCTCCCCATTACAGACGGTAATAATTACAGAAGGTAGTGCTAACGTAATCCCTGGGTTCATCCTATAGCCCTCTGCAGATGCAAGAGCCCTGCCCAGATCCCTAGCATTAGGCCTAACACACCAAGCCAGTGTGGGCCCAGTGACCATTACTGATGTCAAAAGACAAAGTTTGCTATAAACTTAATTTGAAGATTTTTGGGAGTTACTAGGAATCAAACTCAGGGCCTCCCACTTGCCAGGCAGGCGCTGCACTGCTGAGCTACATCCCAGGCCCAATTTAAAGATCTTAACTGTCTGTTTGCCATTCTGAAATTGTTCACAGTTGATTCCACAAAACAGAATGAGGGTTCCTATGAGCTGACTAGGGAGGCTGGCTTTATAGACAGAAGCACTGACAGAGGACAAAAAGGCAGGGCAGTCACTTCAAATGTATTATTATCAACTGTGGTTTCGGGGATTGAACCCAGGGCCTTCACACTGAGCTACATCTCCAGCCATTTTTGACTTTGAGGCAGGGCCTCACTAAGTCACTAAGTTGCCCAGGCTGGGCTTGAACTTGTGATCCTCCTGCCTCAGCCTCTCAAAATAACTTTTCTTATAAAGGTTAAAATAGCCTCTCATGCTGGCTAAAATGATGTGTTTGGAGATTCAGCTTTTCTCTCTCTCTCTCTCTCTCTCTCTCTCTCTCTCTCTCTCTCTCTCTGTCAGATAAGCAATTTAATTTCCACTCAGTAGCGTGCACCTTCAGCATGAGTGATCCCACTTAGATTTGGCCGGTTGGACCTAGTGCAGTAGCTCAGTCCAAACGAGTGGCCTCCTAAATACCTGATTTGATGTTAGGAATTTTGGTGGGACCTGGCATCTTCTGAGTCCTACACAGCAATCCCCAAGCTCCCCAGGAACCCAGAGATTCTTTTTTCGGTAATCACTAGCTAGTAATTAAAACTAAGTAATTAAGTAATTACTTAACAGGTTGGAGACACTGAAACTATTTTTTTGTAGTCATTATGGTAATTTTTAATTTTTTTGGTACTGGGGATCTAACTCGGGACCTTGCGCTTTCGAGGTAGGCGGCGGAATCACTGAGCTAAATCCCCGGCCCTTTTTTTGTTTTTGAGACAGGGTCTCATTATGTAGTTCAGACTAGCCTTGAACTCACTGTGTAGCCCAGGCTGGCCCGGAACTTGCAGCGATCCTCCTGCCTCAGCCTCTTGAGTGCTGATATTACAGGCGTACACCACTATGCCCACCTTATGGGACTATTTTTAAACGTGGTGAGGCAGAAACTTCATGGTGGAAGGATGTGGCAGAGGAAAGTTGCTCACCTCAGGGTGGAAAGGAAGCAGAAATGGTGAGAGGGCCAGAGAGGAAGGGACTGGGGAGAAGATACAGTTCCCAAGAGCACACTTCCATGACCCATTTCCTTCCATCGGGCTCCACTTCCTATTTCTATTACCTTCCAATAACATCATCAAATCACGAATCTGTCAATGGATTGATCTATTAAGGGAGTTGGAGGCCTCATGGTCTGATCATCTCACCTCTGAATCTTGCTACATTGGGATCAGGTGCTTTTGGGGGGCACATTCCAGAGCCAAACCATACTACTCTGGCAATAATTTTTAACAGATCTTTTTTCAGTATTTGCATATACATTAATAACGAAGTCACTTTAGCTGTAAATGAACAGACACAGGGAGACAAGGAGAACTTAACACATGGTCTTTCCACAGCTCAGTCATACATGAGACTTTAAAACACACTGTGTTGGGCCAGGGATTTAGCTCAGTGGTTCCGCCACCTGCCTCGCAAGCGTAAGGTCCTGAGTTCGATCCCTGGTATCCCCCCAAAAAACAGTGTTAACAGAGGCTACACCTACTAATTCTGATCATGTATATTTTCTAAAACATTATTATGAAAGAGTGCAAAGTGAGACCAAACATAGTTGTCAGGAACATTTTTCCCAAAATTTTAACAAAATCTTTTAAGAAAGTATAAAAACCTTCTATTTTCCCACATGGACTCTCAAAACGTTTGCATTTTTCTATCAGAATATCACTTTGCAACTTAAACTTTTGCCATATGGGCTGGGGATTTAGCTCAGTGGTTCTGCCACCTGCCTTGCAAGTGCAAGGTCCCAAGTTTGATCCCTGGTACCAAAAAAACAAAAACTTTTGCCATATGTGGAAAATTATCAAAAATACATTGATGAATGCCAGGGATTTAGCTCAGTGGCAGCGCGCCTGCCTCACAAGCTCAAGGTCCTGAGTTCAATCCCCAGTACCAGAAAAAAAAATACATTGATGGGTCTATGATAATTGTGACTATATTTACATTAAGCAAATTCTTTTACCAAGTTCTTTATGTACAAATTACCACTTGTCCTCTGTAAAATTCATTAAAAAGTTACAAACCACGGAAGTGTCATTAGAAGGAATGCATTCAAAATGTAAATGCTTTCCATCAATGAAGAACATTTCTAAATAATTTAATTGAAATCGACTGAATCTCCCATCAATTTCAGCTGCAACAAAATTCCTTCTGCATATATTCTCAAGTTAGTTAGTGCTCTGCTACTGGATCTTGGGACAGGTGCTCTGTTTGTCCTCCACCTGACTGGGCCACTTTTCACTACCAAGCTGGGGGCCCACGGAGCTCTGTCCATGCTTCAACAGGTGAGCCCACTCA